CGCAGACCGGATTGCTGCAAATTGTATCGCGGCGGTCGAGTCCGCGTGGCTGCGTTCGCAACTAACGGCCGCATGTTGTCAATGCTTCTGTAATGACAACTTGACACGGTTCTCTTGAGATGGCACTTCATTGAAGATACGTTCGCTTGACATCAGGCGGAGACCCCCACCGCAACAGCCCCGAGCCTCCCGCGCATCTCCTCCTTAAATACCGACACGAGGCCACGCCCCCCTTCTCGAACCTTCTCGCTGACTCTGGACGCTCGCTCCACCAGCAGACTCCACCGTCCTCTTCCGTCAACTGACCACGCCCCCTTCTCGAACATTCCCGTAGCCACAAGTCCCTTCGCACTCACAACTGACTCCCCCGTGATTACCTCCAGTGGCCACCACCAGTGCATTCGTACTGCAGGCTGACCTCACCTGCCATTACCTCCCGTGGCCACTAGTCCCATCACACCGCATGCAGGACCCATTGTCATTCCACTTCTGTCACTCGTAAAAAAAATAACACCGTCAAATGAGGCTACTTGCGAAGTAGAGGCACGTTTAAAAGTAAAGCTGTGCTCCGTATTAGGAAGCCACTGGAGTCTATGCACTTAAAAACATGTCAATTGAAGACTAATTTCTATGAGAACTGCTTTTCGTATGAAGTCTGTCGTCCTTCCCCTGCACCTCCGATTAGCACGCTTGGCTACGAACCCGTGCAAAATATAAGTTCAGCATGCGTTGAACGTAAATCCCAGATCACTCACGCACTTGCTTTCCCAACAGAGATAAGCTCTACTACGGACGTTTATCTTAGCGTTACAATTTCTAGGAAAAGATCAGCTTAACGTTAGACTATGGAGTACGCCGTGTGCGTATGTTTCTTGTTGAGCTCCAAGGCATTCGGGCAAAAATAAAGAATGAATACAGCCTTGACACCCACAGAGGTGAACGGTATCGCTCAACTTCTTATTATTATTGACCGGTTCACAGAAAGACGTTTTCCCTTGAAGTCTTTAAACATAATTGATGGGTGGAGGTGCCAGAGTGAGAAACATGTGACACACACGCACGCACTTACTCCATCTCCCCCTCTAAACCCTCTCTCGCCCTTTCCTTTCTCAGCCGTGTGCTCATTCTGCCACGCCGCCTGTTCCACAACAGCGGCTAATATGTTGAGATATAAACACGGCGTCAAACAAAAAAAAGCATTTCACGAAATAACTGCAACTTTCACTCGCAGAATTTTTTTTGTGGAGGGAGAGGGGGGCAAGGGGGGGAGGGTGGTGGTGGCTGTAGCGGAGAATCAGCGGCCCATCACTTGACTTTAACACAAACACAAATGATGCATCGACGTCATCGCGCGGGATGATGAGACTGAAGCGCGTTGCCCGCGCATCAACAGCGACGGCGTGGCAATGGCAGCTCAAAGAGGCCCAACAGCGCTGATGTCGTGGCCAATTTAAACAAGGTCGTCGAGTGGGCGGCAGTGCCGGATCAAGCTAGTGCGGGGCCTGCAGCATATATTCTTTGGGTCTTTCGGTAAAGTCACGTAGATAGGAGATAGGTTCAAAGAAAATAACAACAAATAACGTGACTTTACCGAAAGATCCAAAGAATATGAATTCCTGCAGTCGCGAAAGGTTTAAGTCAAGAGTTTCCCTGTAGCATATGTTATAAAGGGGCCCTAAACTAAAAATACAATTAAACACATACATGTTTTACTTGCATAGTACAATAATTGTATTTTATCATTTGCCATAAGTGCAAAATGGCTGAACCGGAATTGATAGATTGAAAGCATTCAGCGAGGGGCCCTTGAAAGTGCGGGGCCCGTAGCTACTACTACATATGTAGCTACTTGTGCGACTAGGATCATCCGGCGCTGGTGGGCAGGCCTTCCCCATCTGCTGGCCCGATAGAACGCGAGGTGGTGCCGGCGGCATGGAGAAGCAGGACGGGGGGGGGGGGTGCTGACGGGATGGGGGGAGAGGGAGGGCATGGAGGGCCCTCAATCTGCGTTGTCGGACCCACCACGGAGATGTAACAGCCACGCACGCTGTGGAGCTCCCACGGCATAACCTCTCACCTCCGAGTATCCATTGCAAGACCGGAACTCGAGGCTGCTGGAATTCCATTATTTTTTTGCCTCCTCCCTCTTGACTCTGGGTGTTAGTGGGAATATCGGATTCTGGGGTCGTTAGCATTTTGCCACTGCACCCTCCCCCGCCCCCCCCCCCCCCCCCCAACAGTTAAGTACATTACAGGCAGCTAGAGAACGGCGGGCTATAAAACTGACAAGACGCTTCATTTTAAATGGAGATAAAAGGGCGTTCTGTTACTTTTGCGTACAGGACATCGCGGACGAAATGTCTTTTTTATTGACTGTGAGTGTAAAAATTCAGCTTTTTTTGACATGGAAAATGAACGGAAAAGCCACTTTAAAGATGACACATCAACAGGTGAATAAAATAACTTGCGATTTAATACATGCGCAGAGGCGGCGCGGTGGCGCAATAGTTAATGCGCCTGCTCTGCACCCGGCTCTCTGAGTTTGATTCCAGTCTATGGCTAACATCGGTGTCAAGGGCGATACGGAACCAGTTCAAGGGCTGACCAGCATGGTGAAGTATGGTTAAACCACCCCCATTGGCTGACGTGGCATGCGAAGACCTTGACCCTGCAGTTGTTTATCAAAGAGTTGCAATTTATATATTTTGTATTAGATGTCAAATGCATGTTTTCCTGTGCAAGCATATGTGACATCATTTACGTTTCGTTTATATTTGCAGTTAAAAAAAGCCTGTTTATTGAAAGCTATTATTTACTGAAAGTTGTGGATTTAATGACGATTAAATCTAAATACGCACCACATATATCTCGACACTGGCAAAATACTTACATTATTAATTCCATGCAAGGCTGTGCGTGCGCATAATTATAACAAGATACACTCTTGCTGCATTGACATGAAAATCGAACCAAATATATGATGTATTACAAGCATCTGATTACTTAAAGGCATTTTACTCCTTAAAATAACTCGCAGCGGTGAAATCCATCCTCGGAGCGGGACCCGAGTATGGTGAGCGCGTACACTCGCGCGCACACTCGCCCACAACATCTGCTTGGAATAAGCCACACAGCCAGGGGCTTCATTCCCTTCCAAAGTCTTCTGTGAAAATGAGTAACTTGGTGCACGAGACACCATCGTTTAATGTGGTCGCACAAAATGGATCAAAATTCTGGGGCTGGGTACCACCACCACCACGAACAAACCAGGCTGTATGAAAACTGGAGGTTTTGTTGTTGTTTGGCCCCGTAGTAACATTGTTCTGCTCGGCAAAGCTTTTTGAGGGGGGGGGGCAGGAGGAGTGGGGGGGGGGAGCAGTCTTGTCAACACCATGCGTCTTCACGTCTGCGCCTTGAAGCCGCTGGTGCAAGTGGCCTGTGCACACGGACCGACTGACCGACCGCGTCGTCGCCCCGTGCCAAGATCGGAAATTTAGGAACGGGAAAAAAAAACAAGTTTAGCCAAATGTACGAAACATGTGGAATGTTTAACGCGTGCAAGGCTGTTTTCTCTGCGTGTGTGCTTAAACACAATACAGGTCAACTCGGCCTCAAATGAGTACCTGGTGCGGGGTGTAAACATCGCCACTGGAGAGGCAAAGGCGGCCGGGCGTGGTGTTGATCACCCACCCCCTCCGTGTGCCGTGCCGGCCTTCATAGGTGCTCGCTAACAGCACTTGCCCCAACAAGGCTGTGAAGGCTATACTGGGCGGGGGGGATCCTTGTCTTTTAAACACTACATATACGTACACAAGCAGTTTGAAGAGGCTCTGGGTTCATGGATAACCAGATATTCGCTGGAATTCAAATTCTAATAAACATAATCAACTACATCATGGGACCTCCTTTGCCAGTACCAAAATATGAGAATAGGTTTTCCCATTTTTCTGATCTAACACCGTTTGAGACGAGGCTCCAAAGAAAGCTGTCTCTGGTATGGACCAATTAGTTTCAAAGACAATGCATATATTATCAGAGCATGTTTTTGTTTGCATTCTGACCACAAGCATTGTGGTTAATGCAGACATGATTCCTTGTCAAAGATTTCAGTTTGGTCTTTTAACATCTTAACACAGCTGTTTTGTTGCCAGAAAAAAGGGGAAAACCTATTCTCATAATAAACTAATTAACATAAAATGGATTTATATTACTCGTCGCTTTTTTGTCTCTGCTCTGATCTAAATCCATCTTTGTCTCTCGTGTCCATCTCTATCTTTTATCGACATCATCACGCGACATCTACCTCTTGTCGATATCACTCCTGTCATCTAACGAGGAGCTTATACATGGAAACGGGGGGGGGGGGGGCCCACCAACAATGCTTGATGCTTGGGCCCCCAGAAAAAGAAGGTTTTAGAATACATCGTCGAATGCAGTATCACATTTTTTTCAGCAGCATGTTCAGGGAGATAAATGCTAATTGTCGAGGTCTGCTCGGCACGAGAGGGCTTCAGGACAGAGTTTCATGTCGGTTTTTTTGTATATTCCTCCGTTGAAGGAGAGTAAACTACCACCGACCATATAGTAAACCACTGTATAATAGAGAGTTTTGTGGGTTAGATCGCGTAAATATAAATGTGTCCTTAAACCCGCCAATACCGACACAGCCAACTGATAAGGGTTGTCACGTAAACAAAACATCCCCATTCGTTACTAGTCCAGCACACCGGTGTGTTGGAGAATAAACCCACAACATTTACAGTTCTCGTACGACGTTTCGCCATTAATTAGTTGTAATTACTGTCGTCTGGTGATGCGAGTTGTAATTACTGGCAAAACGTCGTACTCGATTTATAAATTTTGTGGATTTACTCTCCAACACACCGGTGTGCTGTACTAGTAACGAATTGGCACGTTCTGTTTACGTGACAAACCTTACTAATTGACTATCGAGTGGTGGCGGGTTTAACGACACAGTTATTTAATTACGCGATCTTACCCAAAAAAAACTCGTATGGATAATATTGGTCGCGAAAGCCGACGTGTTAAACCACAGTAAGCTGTCTTACTTCAACGGAGGAGCAGCAAAACTACACAAACTCTCTCCTGAAGACCTCCCGTCGTGGCCGGTAGATCTCTCCGACATCGGCACTTCTTAGCTCTGTAAAAGTATTGCCATTATGCGCAAGAATGGTATAGCTTCAGTCGCAACCTCCAGACACCACCAGCATCAGAGAAGGAGAGACCTCCCACCATGCACACGGAGAATGCGGTGTGTTTTGGAATGGGGGGGGGGATAAGCAGGAAGGAGAATAAATAAAGAAAGATCACACAATTGAGCAAAAGCCAGGCCATAAGAAGACTTTGATGACAAAGAGAAAGTTACTTTTTTTGTTTAATATCACGTACAATCAATCATTGACGGGAAATTGTGTGTTGAATACATTATTCTCTTAAATGTTTTGGAATTAAAACAACACTTCGTTGCATTCTAGGAGGTGGAATGCTGAAAGGGAGACTGTCCACAGGCTTGATGTGAGGACTGGGTTTAAAGGGCTTCGGCAAAGCACTTCACTGCCCCCTCCTGACCATCGCTGCGATACAACTCTCGCGAGTTTGCTGCGCTTTTAAATCGACGACAATTAATTTCCACGATTCATGGCCACGGTATGAAAAACCGACAAGTCTCTCGTCGTATGCGTCCTCGCTTTGTGCGATTCCGTGCTGTACGTGCGGCTAACCTATTTCTCCCGAAAACAAAAACCGCAATATTGTGCGGTTTGAATTCACTCTGCAGTACATGCGGCTATGGCAGCGGGGGGGATCGGCAACCAAAACAACAAGAGGAGCAGTGATTTGTCTTTTTTTAATGCGGTAAAACAAAAAAATAACCCCGCAATATTTCACGAGCTGCAATGCACTGCGGTGAATAACGGTCACGAAGCGGTCCTTGAAAGCAGCGGTCCCCAACCCCACCGGGGCTACGCGGTTGGGCGTGGGGGCAGGCAGCGTTGTGTGCACTGCGCGTTGTGCGCAAGGCGACAGGCAGCTGTCTCTCGTGCGGTTTCGCTTTGTGCGCCCCCCTCCCTTTATTTTCGAACGCATCTACCGCACAGGAAGGGGGACCTGTAATCGATTTTTTGTGTAATGTGAACCATGTTGTTTGTATCGTTTTGTCCTTATTTCTATCGTTTGTTCCATTCGCTTAAGAGGTAACGTTGAGCAGCTTATTTATAAATTGCATACACTAACACGAACATATTTGTCATATATAAAAATGTAGGAAAGCAGCTCCGCTGTTTTCTGTTCACTGTAACAATTACTTTGGCTCGTTGTGTCGTGTCCAACAACTCACGAGTTCAATGTATAAGCACGTGACCATTTGTCATTCAACTGCTGGCTCAGCCTCCCACCGGGTCACCCGTCCCTTGCGAGTCATGCGGGTTTGTTTGACCATACTTCACCGCGATGGACGTTGTGAGCTGGCCAGAGGAGTTAAGCACGTGATCGAAAATGAGCAATTGGTAATAATGAAAATGATTGAATTTTTTTTTATTAACCGTGCGACTTATATTGCTGTCTGAGGGTTGCACGGTGCGAAGTATACAACACCAAATGCAGGTGTTTTTTTCAAGAGGCTGTTTTATTGACGTTTGCATTCAAGTAAAACAATACACGGTGAGCAATGTAAACCAAACAAACAGCTTCGCTTTTAACCCCACCAAACCTGCCCACTCATAAGGCACCAGTGCTTCATTACACACCACATCCATCTCACCTTATTTTGTCCACGTTGTACCCTACTTTTCTATCAACCCTAAATTATTTATGATTACATCCCCCCCCCCCCTCTGATCTTCGCACCTGATAGGCAGAGTGATGTCATCATCTTACTCTAAGGCCGAAAACAAGACTTCTCCATAATTCTGGCAAATCGCCTGATGAAGCTGGTTGTAATCACTAGCGAAACGTCGAACTCAAATTGTAAATGTTGTGGGTTTACGCTCCAACACATCGGTGTGCTGAAGTAGTCACTATTTGCCACGTTTTGTTCACGTGACAAACCTTACTAATGAGCTGTGTTGGATCGTAGTGGATTAACGGCAGATGTATATTTACGCCCACAAACCCAAAAACCTTCATTATGAATATCAAATCTATTAGAATTGTAGAAATATAGGGTACAATAATATTCTAGTATGGACGGGCGTACCCCGTGTACTTTTGTGGCAGTGCCCTAACACCGATAATAATCCCAACTCCCAAGCCAGCCTAGCAGCGTTCTGGAAAATATCGAATGTGATATCAAGCCCTGTAAGACGCTCAACTCTACACGAGGAACGCAATAACTATGCAAATGCATGAGCCTGAATATTACTCATGTGCTACTCGTACACTTTAACATCAGGGGCACTGTGCTGACCAGCCAAGTAACGTGCTTATACTAAATTACACTAAGTGTGCAGTGATGGTCTGATGGTACAACTCTGCTCGTAGAAGTTGTATATGGTAGAACTCCTCTTATCTGCGACGCCATTACTTGCGACTCCTATTATTCTGTGGAAGCCGTAGAACCTGCAAATAATTCTTATTTCATCTGCATCCACTATTCTTTCAATTATCCACGAATATCCATGGTTTTAACATCCTGCGTTGCAGAATAGTTCACAATCGTTTATACATATTTCACCGGATTTGTTTGGAAAATTGAGCCAATTGTCCGTGGGTCTTAACGGACCCTTTTTTCCCAGCATGCACTGAAGGAAAATGAAGTCGTAAAATCATAATCCGTGAATTTTTCGGATAAGTCGAGTTCACCGGCAAGTTAATCGTTTTATCCACCGTCCTTTTTGTGGCTAATTTGAATACACTCACAGCTATAACAGACAATAGGATCTACATCACGGCCGATGAGAGCAGGTATACTGTATATAAACGACAAAAGGCAAAGTTAGCGTTAGATGAGTGGTGTAGTCATCAGTTTTTTCAATGCCAAAGTTTATAGTTTGTCCCAAAGCTCAAGAGGAGAGCAGCAACTCAAAGTGTGCCAAGTTTGCGTAGACGCTTGTGAGCCAGGGTGCCACTGATTGTGCTTTCACAACACGATAAGGCTAACAATTCAACAGCAAACATTCACCGCAACCCAAAACGTATAAATAAAACACAGCCAAAAGTGTCTCGAAACAATGCCAACGTGCACACCCGTAGTCACGAATCGACACAATGCCATTAATAACCTGATGCAAATACATAACATCTTTGGAGAGAGACAAAAAATCCCACCAGGCCCAATTTTCATTCTTAAATACTGGTATCGAACCTATAAACCGTCATGTTGTGCCCATTGTTAACTTCCTGAATCCCTTTGAATTTCTCACTCTAAAAAAAAACATTTAGATCTCAGTGACACAATATTACCAGCCAATTAACCTCTTAAATACCATTTCAGAAATCGTAAAATACCGAGGATTAATTGCACTTCAGTGAGTCTAATATCTTCATCCAATGTGAGGAGACCCACACCCCTCTGCTAGTTGGTTCTGCATCAACAGCCATCACCCCCCCCCCCCCAATCCTTCCCATAGTATTTGAGGCTCTCATAATAATCCTTGGCGTTTCCTGAAGGCCAGTCGGCCGAAACGTCAAGATCCTTGTTTCCCCCAAGTGACGGTGAGAAAAATAACCAAACCGTATATATTTGTTTTACCGAAGTAGCAAATTTACACCGAAATTTTAAACTATACGTATATTTTTTTTACCAAAGTAGCAAATTTACACCGAAATTTTAAACTATACGGGGCCGCGGCCAACAGTGGGCAAAACTGCAAGCGTTACACGACGACATGAATTTTAGAGGCGGCACAAACTGAAGTCGGCATTCATCGCCGTGTACGGTTGCAAACCACATTCCCCCCGCAGCCTTTTGAGAGCCAAGGCAGCTGAACAACCACTGCTGTCACGAAACGAAACTTAATTAGCTGTGACGGGAACAACCACTCCTGTGAACGTTAATGCCACCCCCTCTTTCCAGGGCACGACTGCGAGCACGAATTCCCAACCTAAGGGAATTGGCTACTTCATAAAGTTGGATTTTTTTTTTCATGCACCGTGTTTATATTTAAATCTTGCTTAATTCGTTTCGAATGCAGGCACATGCAACTTTACGCATAAGTGTCAACCATAATTTGTTGGCGCTTGTAATTCCGTTACAGAGCGAGTATATCTCTACGTGCTGTTCTGTGTAGGGCACATACAATATTTTCATGCACATATAACAGCCCTAATGCCAATCCACTGCTGGACGAGATTCTCAATCACACCGTGCGGTTCATTGGGATTATTTGGCCATACTTCACCAAACTGGTTAGTGCATGTTGGTGGTGGGGGAGTATGTACGCGGAAGCACAGGCGCACAATACAACATCGGAGCTTGCTGCACTGGCCTCTGCTAACCACAAAATAGTACAGCCCTGTAGCTGCTTATTACAACCTAGCATGCATGGGTGGTCACCTATCCAAGTGCTATGCAGGCTCAAAACCCGGCTTAGCTTCCAAGATCTGGCAAAAGCCCGGTGCATTTCGGGCGATTCTGGTAAGAGGGTGATATTTTCACGTACCATCAAAATACTATATCTTTGTACGTACAGATTTTGTTTTTTTCAACATTCACCACATGAAATTACAAACGGACTTTGAGGATAATGTTTTGGAGTCTGCATTGCAGCAAGTGGCTCGAAGGCAGATATTTTTTTTCTGAAAGTCATTTTACTTGTAACAGCTCCGTTGCCATGCGCGTGCATCGCTTATCTATTTCGCCAACCCCTAAAGCAGAACTTGCACGTAGAGGACGCTGCATGCGACAGTAATCCGGCGCTTAGTCAAACTGCTAAAAAAAAATCGCCCGATGGTGCGGCGTAGCGCCAGCTTTGGGTTTTTGCTTCATTAGTGTAGATGAACGTCGCGGAAGTGTTATGCTATCTTCTTTGGTTCTTTCAGTGTTATACTAGATGGACTATAACTTCGGCCGTAATTTTAGCGGGAGCTCTGGTCTGGGGCTGATTTCCAGAAAATACTTCCATGATGAAATAAAGCCTTGCCCCTCACAATACGATAACACTTCATTCACACAGTGCTTGGAAAAAATGAGAACACACGCACTGCGTTATAATTTCTTTGGAACAGCTTATACCGCATGCACTTTGTCAAGTTAGGCTCAGAAGTGCATACATTTAAATACAAGGCAAACGTACTCTTAATTATAAAGTGTTTTGCAATGTGACGTATGCCTAGCAGCAAAACACGACGAGTGCCACACGAAACAGTGTTAGTTTGGGATACTCTAGTTGTTTTGACATTAGGCCTCATAAATTAATACACAAATACAGTGAAAACTACCGTCTCAAACGACGCAAATGTATACCCAAATGCGATGACTATTCATAGTTTTAAAGTGAGAATGCAACTGCACGGAAATGTGTACATTGGACAGGCAAGATATAAGCTTAAGATATGGAGACTGCAATGATTACGAGAACAGAGTTCTGTTTGTGTTTTGTGTGTGTGTATATTTTAAAGGGTTACATATTTCAACCATGCACAAAGGTTAAATTAAACTCCATTTCACTTAGTAAAATTAATCAGCCAGGTCTCCATCCTTCCCGTGTTGCGCGAGGCCAATCCACTTACAGAATGATTGATGGTGTTATGTGAAATGCACATGCTATGTGCAATCTGCTGCCGTATCGTCACCACTCCTACTCGTGGGCATGCCCATAATAACTTACGTGATTATTCCATCCTCAATAGCTTGAGTGAGGAAGCATGTTTTCTTTTATATGTTTAAGCCAGGAAATTAAAAAAAATCGGTGGCGCACATCTTTCGACCATAAACTCGCCTACCCACGAAGCATCAATTAGACAGCACATTCCGCTTTTTTTAACTTAAAATACTCGCCACACCTAACGTGCAAATTTCCAAAAGTGCCAATTGGGTTAATTTCACTAAGCGAACTATTTAAATCTCCCCGAGCCTTGCCCTCACCCGCCGCTCATGTTTTTCCTCCGTGTGGGCCGGCGCTGACGGGCGGCTCAGTCGCCCGCCGCAGGCTCTCCGCGCGCGTCGCGCTCCGACCGCCGAGACCCAGCGACCCCCACGACGGCGTCTCCACCGCCTCCGTCGCCACCGCCTCCGTCGTCTCCGCGGTGGTGGCGCGAGTAGCGCGCGAGCGCCTGCGGGCGGAACGGCTGCACGCTGACGCTGTCCAGCAGTGACGCAGGCGCGCGAGCCTTGACCGCCGGCGCCACCGCTACCGCCGCGTTCCTCGCCAGCTCCTCGCCGTGCGCCTGAGCTCGCGCCCGGAGGTCGGCGATGTCTGCGGAGAATTTCTGCGGGATCGTCCGTCGCTCGTGGCCGACGCTCGCGCCCTGCGCGGAGACGCCGCGGGTCGGGTCCTTCGCTTGTGCCGCGCTTCCTTCCTTCCCGACATCCCGCGGCCGAGCTGCTCCGTCGTCTGCCCTTCGGATTTGGACGGGCGAGTCGTGGGCGCTGGCTCGCGGCAGGCTCCCCCGAGTAGTCTTTTTTACAAAGGGAGCATTGCGGAAGACGTCGTCTTGCGCGGCGGGTTTAAAAGGAGCCTTGGAAAAGATGTCTTCCCTTTCTTGACCGATGGGAAACGGTGCCTCCGAAAACACATCGACCTCCGCTGCACCAGATGTAGTGTGGACTTGGGTGGCAGGATCACGAATTGTCGCAATATTGGCGATTACTTGGGTGGCAGGATCACGAATTGTGGCATTTCCCTCTTCAAAAATGACCACCGGATGCTGCTCTACTGGCCCTCCAGAGATGGAAACCGTTATGCTCGTAGTGTTTTTCTCTGTAGAAAAGCCAGCTCTCCCAGTTCCACCTCCGATGCTTGTTTCGGGAGTTTTACCCCTAAATTCCGTGGAAGCATCTAGGGGGGATGCATCATACGTCTCGCTTGTGTCTTCCTCTTTCTTCTCAGTGATTAAATTATCGGTGGTGGTGGTGCATGGGAGGTCAGAAGCCGCTGCGATGATTTTTTTCTCAAAGTCACTGCCATCATCGAGCAATGATGACGCAGCTTCCTTGTCGGCATATGTTGGCGTTCCGTAAACACCATACGCAACTTCGCCTGCGTTTTCTGGTTTCACCACGTCACTCCTGCTTTCTTGTACAGTGATATGGGGTACGTTAGCAGCTACCTTGTTCAAGTGCACTGCAGCCTGTGGTGTGTACTGTGAGTTTCCAACACTAACAGAACTCTTGGCCACAACATCCCAAGTCCTGGGATTAGTGCCTGCAATGGAATGAAAAAAGACAGCAATTTGTTAAATGACCTACCGTGCGCACATAACATAAAATCATCGTATTATAAAACATCAACGCTGTAATGAAATAATAATATAAAACTAGGTCGATATCGCAATATTGGCAATATAAAACATACGTAGTATATACACACAGCAATACAACGAGCATATTATATTGACTAGTTACACATACCGTTAATGTTGGGTTCATAAATGAGAAACGCAGCACGGTAAGCCTCTGTTACAACTCGTATGTAATGGACTCCTGAACACCAAAGCCGATTTTAATGATGGGACACACACAATGGAAACTTTTTGTTTTTAACCACAACCGTTGGTATGATTGTAACAAGAGATTTGTCTGTGTTCACACGTACTATGGGTGCTGTGTACAAACACTCCGAAAGGGAAATGATATGACCACAAGCAAAATAAAAGGACACCAAAGCCACGAAAAAACATTGACACTCAACTACAGAATGATGTGCATGTTCTCTCATCCTTACATTTTTTTCAGTTACAACCTCTTAAAACACAATCCTGGCAAGACATAAGAGAACATGAGAGCAATAATAATTATTGGGGGTTTTTTTGTTTGTTTTGTTTTCGGAAACATTTCCACGAAACACATGCGGGTGGGTTACCATGCGTTTGAAACACAGCATGTTCAAAATGCCTTGAAGTAACAGGAACTTTATTGATAAACAGCTTCAAGCACACAATTTTTTGTACATTTGATATAATAAAATCACCGCACGCCACCATCCGACGGTGGTAGCGAATTGCCTTTTACAGTAGCTTTTTGAAATGGCCGACTATAAACTGGCGTACACAATTTCACATTCACTACACATCACTCAAAGCAGCTAAGTGGGCTTCCTAATAATGAACCCTTCGTAATGGTTTTACACATCAGAATTCAGCAGTTACAACAATGCCTTGTTCAAGTCGGACAGACTTGCCTGGTACGCAAAAGCAAACAGTGAGCATGAGAACATTCATTTGGAGAGAACATTAATAACACTAAAATTAATACAGACAGGAGACGATCACTTGCGCCCCTGTAGACGCATGTGGCGAGGCGGATTTACAACTTTCTTGATTCAATTTTCCGATACAGTGCTTTACACAATCTCATAAAGTAGTCACGCAATAACAGACCCATTTAAGGATTCCAAGATTAAATCTTTTTTAAACAGAAAGGATTTTCAGAGCAATTGTCCATTATATGGGACAGGAGGTGGATTCCTTACACAAAACATTTCCAAGCAACTAATCATACTGTTGTTTTTTGTTGTAAAGATTGGGACTTAACACATCAACAATGTGCATTTAGGAAACCGCACGAAACTTTTTTCCTCCAAACACAACCGCGACAAGAGGGATAATAACATTTTCATTTCATGAAAATATACGGGAAGAAGGGAATGCTGCTAAAGAGGCAATGGAGTCATTCTCTTTCCTTTTGGACAAGAAAATCAAAGAGGTAACAGGAGAGAAAAAAGACCACACAAACGACCGGGAAAAGTTCAAAGAATGATAGACCAAATATTTTTGGGGGAATATCTGCTTTTTGCATAGTACATAACTAAAAATCGCACAATAACAAAAAATAATAAGAGGTAAACGTTTAAAATATGGCAAAAAATAACTTGATCCTGAAGCACATACAACTCAGAAGGAACAACAGCTTTGCATAGTAATCAAATGCTCAGCTCTTAACAGATTAACAAAATGAGGAAAACAGATGCGGATTAGACATGCTTCAGTCGAGCCACGTCAACACAGACACGGTGGAAGTGCCTCCTACGAGCACCAAGTTTCTTGTTTTTAAATGTTGCTTGGGGTAAAATATTTCACCATATAAATTTTTGGAGAAAAAAAATCTCAAAGTACAGCTTTCTGCCATAATCACTGTTGGTCTGGTAATGGTGAATCATTGAATGCGCAAATTGGACTTGGGAATGCGCCACGATACGATAAACAACACAGAATCGAGTATGTTGTACTGCACAACAGCACATTTTTTTGTTTAGACGCTGCACCTCAAACATGTTGGGATGCTGTCAAGCTCACATCGATTGGTCTCGCCAGGATTTGTTAAAATTACGGAATGAGTTTTTTTTTAGAGTCCAACTGACATTCAACGGCGTACGTAAAACACAGCCAATGCACCGTATTGAGTTTTGTAAAACGGGCAAAGTGACTGGTTTGCAATGATTAAACAGCTTTGAGAAAGGGGACTGAAAAAATAACAAAAAGACCAGCTGTATTCACTTTCACTTCACTTGTGTATTAAGAGTGAAAATGATTGCACCAAATGGGAAGGAACAGGTTTCTTAGATAGAATTACACGTGTAATTTTGGATTACAATCAAACATGCAACCTTTTCACAGAGGACAATTAAACGTCTTGTTCTACAATATAAGTCGCATCAAAAGAAGTCCCCCGTGGTTCGGAAAATCTCACGGTAACAAACTGAGAAATAAATTGCATCTTGTCACAGTATGTAAGCCTTTGATAATCTGTGGCTTTGTTGAAACGCATAGAATGCTTTACGCTGGGCATGTTTCATTCGTTTTTTTATGCAGGGGGCGATGATGATTTAGGGTTTGCAGAGGGAAATGTAAGATTATTCTGCATTGATGCAATGGCCTTTTAAAGTTAAAAATTTGCACCTGCTAGGGTTACACGTAAGCTGAGGACAAGCAGCATAAAACAGCGCTACATTGTGTAATTTAGCACAAAATGGAACACCTTAACAAGTCAAATTATATCCTCACCTACATAATGGTCCCAATTTAGAATGAAGTGTGTTCAAATTGGAATGCTTATAATAAACCAGATTCTAGCGGAAATGTTAAAATACATCAGGAATGGCGATGACTTAATTTCTGAACGATTTAAAACTTTTTAAGCAACAGCAACAACAAAATTGCTGCGCTGTATTGAAATTCAAGTGTTTAAATATTTTAAATGAAAGAAAAAAAACAGTCACAGAGTTTTGTGCGAGGCTTCACAATGTTCGATCCTGGGCAATTACCGTCTCAGGTTTGCTCAGTAATAGAGGCGTCTGTTTTCTCGTGCGCCGCCACACACACCACGTTTGTTCTGCGCACACAACGAATCGACGGCACGCACTTGTTGCTCCCCTTTGTGTGAAAAGAAACACAAAATAAAGAAAGCGTCAATTCTGCCTCGTGGACATCTAACGTATCCTGGTCACGTGGACAGTTTCCAAATTAAAAAAAAAATCCCCGTGAACTTCTATAGACAAGCGTGTGCAAGGAGAGAACATCGGAATGCGACCAAAACAGTCTTCTGAAGAACATGCCGCCGCCGCCGCCACCACCAAAGCGTGTACAACGTGTACAACCGTTCAGGTGGTGGCCTCAATGAAACTCGTCCACTTATTTCGATTCTCATCGCAATTTATTTTTGCAGTCGAATTCCACCTGTCAGGATGGTTCACTTTATCGTGCGATTTGTGTAAACAATATTTTTTTTTGCTGCGTAAAAGGTGCAGAGTGTTCGGTGTTGGTTAACGATTGAGAAAAAAAATTGTTGTTGCATTTGCAGTGTGGAATAATACGTAATTTATTTTTCTTTAAGCTTAATTAAATGGTTTAAACCTGTCACGAGCGACATGTAATTCCACAGAAAACTACATGTACATTTTAAAATGTTTATCTCAGGATCATCAGAAATAAACAAAAAAATCGAATCAGCAATATACATGGGTGCTACTACAATTGCTTCCAACAAGTATTACAAAATAGATAAAATGACAGCTGCGGTCCATTTAATCACAATCAAGTCTTCACAGGTTGGAAAAAATAATAATTTCTTACGTTCGAAATTGTGTGCAAAATTACTTCAAAGCCATATTTTTTTAAATAACCGGAAATAATCAGGCTTGGTAAAAAAAACCTGCAACCTAATTTCTAATTTTCAAAAATAACAGGAAAAGCTTCACAATCCACCAAAAAAAATAAACCACTCAGTTTCTCCTGTGAAAGGGAAAAACCATACCAAAGCAAAACAGGAAAAGTGATTTATGCCGCAACCATTTTAAAGCCAACGGACACTATACATTGCAAGAACCGAATGCACGCAGAGCAGTTGTTTTTTACACTAGGTCCCCCCCCCCCCCCCCGGTTCTCTCCCACTGCCTCCAATTAAGCGGCAATTCTTTTGGTGAATCCCCACAACTCCCCCCGCCACACTGCAATGACAACAGCACGGCTAAAAGGGGGAGTAGAGGCACTGGCCGTTGAGTGCCGCCTGTTGCTGCCCAGGCCGCCGGAAGGCCGCCGGTTTTGCCATGCGCGAGGCGGCGTGACCAGCCAGCCCTGGAGGGGGGGGAGACAAAGCGCCGCCGCCCAATCAAAACCGTTCATCTCCCTCTCTGCGAGCCATGCACAACAACACCGCCGTGGTGCTGCCCTCAACCAAGAAGCCGTCACTCCTGTCCAAAAAGTAAACGATTCGTTGTCGGTTTGTAGCTCGCCGGAGGATGCGGGTTTTTGGGGGTTGCGCCGCGTGTTGTTCGGCATGATGTCCAACGTTTCAAATTCGCGTTCTTCGAGAACCGAAGAAACTCCCCAGCGCGTCTGGAGCAAAATGCCGGATGGACATCGTGCCGGACAGCGCGCTCGCTGCACAACGCGAAAACACACCGGAGGGCTCTCCAATGACATAACTGCGAAAAGTTATGCAGGAGTATGCCATCACCAGTTTGCCTTTCTGATCTTTGCAATTTATGAAACGTTGGACATGATACCGAACAACACTCGGCACAGCCCGAAAACCCGCATCCGGCGAACTATAAACCCACAACAATTGGAGTGTCATCAGTTTATCTTTAAGATCTTTACAACGAAGTCAAATGATAATTTAGTTTTTAACATCGTTTCCAATACTGATGGTAATTTTAAGATGCAAGCAAACATTTTTGTTCGACTAAAACGATTTAAAAGCAACACATTTCACCACTTATTGGCCGTCAGCCCAGTTAGTTATGCATGGTTAATTCCAGGTTAGTAATGCCATCAATAACATGTTAGTAGTGGTGAAAAATGTATAATGTATTAGAGATCGGAAGTCAATGGGCATGATTGTGACGATAAAATATGACGTTAAGCCTCTGGTGTAACCTGCTTTGGGGCGCATAAAGCTGTTACTTTCCATGTGCTAGTCTGACTTGCAGATTCACAGCTCCCACATTTACAGTTCTTGCAATGCAATTTGTTACCGTATACGAAGACCACTGTATTAATATACATTATAAGTAGGCAAGGCAATGGAATAACGGAAAATAGGCAGGTATATATCAGACATGTCTGCCGCTTTCAGCAGTGTTAAAACTTTATAAAACTCAGACCAAGCCTGACCTATAAACTAAGTTTTTGTCTGATGTGCAAAAAAAGTACAAATTGTTCTTTTATGAGAACCATTACTTGACAATGCTGAAAAGGTCATACATTCTCAAGCAGGTGGTCAATTTTCGTGACTTGCTAAACATTTGTTCGTGCCGCGCCTGCAGATCGACAGCAAGCGAGCATAACAGAAGCTCATGCTCCATCCATGTCGTGCCAGGCGCATGCATTTGTAGTGTAGGAGGATATTAGTTGAAAGAAGCACCTTCTGTAGGGGAGCAACTGCAAGATAATTCGTTTGACCACTGTCTGCTAGACTCGTATTTCGTTAAGATCCAGTATGTTGGTTAAATAGTTTTTCTTAGTTATATGGTTTGGAAATAAAAATCAAGAGTTCAACATTCGCACAAGGAGTTTTACTTCTACAGTAGAGCACAAGGAGGGAAGTTAGCACACTACTTACAAATCGGTACATACAAAGTTTACAGCTCATTGACAAATCACAAACTAAGGGGAGTTAGGGGAGGGGGGTGGAGGGCAACAAGATATTGCATGGTTAAGAATAAACATGATATACAATCTCAAACAGTCGTGTCATCAACCTTTTCCGGTGAGGCTTCCCACACATTTCTCATGAATTCACATCGCATTATAATATTCACTTTTAAAACTGTGTTAATTTCAATGTGTTATCATTTTCCATCCAATTTTTTCATGCGAGTGAGACCATTCCCAGAAGCAGGATCCTTGTACGTTCACATTTTGCTTTGATAATTCTAGAGATTTTCCAAAAAGACATTTCAATATTACATATTATTTGAGTCGGGCTGTGGGTGTGCTCGTTTCATAAGTCTTTGAAATGAATTTTTACGTTTATGAGGAATATGAATTGTGTATGCACTTAATCCAAATTATTTTCTTACACTTTGGCACGTGTTGTATAAATAAGGAAATTTATGCTATATGTCAGTCAGTATAAGTATTTAACTTGGAACACAGTTATTTATTTTCTCAATCCCTTGCTCATTGTTTCACAGTTTGTCAGCAGCGCACGCTTAATACAGCACAGTATATAGTTCTCTCTTTCGTCTTGTTTGCAGAAAAAAAAACTATATCGCGTAATTACATCTGACACCCAAAAGTAATACGAATATTTAAGCTTAATATCATGACGTCCAACACCACTTAAATAATTCACAAACACTGCTACTACTAATCATTAACTATATATAACAATTGTCTGCTCTATATCAATTTACCCTATGTCTCATATACATTCTCATCTACACACAGCTGCAATCAACGCCGGTGGAATTAAATTAAAAGCCCCCTCCGAGCGACCGCACGCGCAATACTAGGGAAGCAGGAACGGGAAAAGGCTGATGAGTCTCAAGGTCCCGAATAGCTAACGTCTACATGGCTCGAATGTCACAGCAATAAAATGGCAATGATGACGACAAATGTGGCGTTCACACCAGGAATACAGCAGGAAAGAAGATACTGCAAGGAAGGGAGAGAGACTAGAGGAGAGCCCATGTTCGATGCTTGTGCATCTAAAGTACTGCGATGAGTAGTGCAGCTGCGCCCAGTTCACACAGAGCTTTGCCCTTTATTTTGATGGTCGCTCCACAATTTGAAGGTCCCCCCCCCCGCCACCCTGGTACACAGTCTTTTAGTCTTCATGCACGGAGTTCTCGCGTGGGGAGGAGGAAGGGGAGCAAGGGAAGAAAGAGGAGGATGCTTTGGAGCTATGCAGCAGATTTCAACACCGGTATAGCCACAGTATTTAGCAAATGCATTTCAGCTCAGTGCTCATCGCATCATGTTCCATAAACGTACCATCCAAATTTTCCTATAGCGGAATATCATCAACAATCGGCTGCATGGGTAAATAGTTTGGCCATTGTTTTTTTTCCATCACTTATTTCAATTATCATTCAGTGCAGTACGAATACCGACGCTAACCACTGACAATCAAATCAGAATCTTTAGGCTGGAGAAATCCGATGAGCTACGAAGCTCTTTTTCACAGATGTCCAGTACGGGCGGGGTCAGCAAGATACATGGGGCGCGGGGAGGTCAGCAACTGGACTTCAATGCTGTTGAGTAGCAGTACAAAGTGGTTCGGCTGTTTGGGTTCAGTATGGCTGCGACGGCACTGCCGAGTGCACAAGAGGGAGGGGCGAGCGAGCGAGAGGAGGGAGATTGGCAGCAGGGAAGCCAGCAGTGGGATTCAGAGCTCTTCTCTTTCAGAGGTCTATCAGCTGGTCCACCAGAACCAGGGGCCTACCTAGGCTGGGCATCCCACCCTCCGCTGAGCCCTCACTGCTGTTCCGCGAATGGCCTGCACGCACGCACGCGCACATGCGCACACACGAACAGAGAGAAATCGTGAAACATTTACATAAATTCATCGTGTGGAACAATATATCGGTTACACTCTTGCAACAAGAATCCCTCTGCTTACAGGTTCATGGGTTGCAATAGTTTCTGATGTTCCTGGCTCATGTTTGGTGTTTTGGCATTGGCTATGTTTCTACTAAGGAAATGAGCTATTATGCACATATGCACATTATGCACATATGAACAGCAACCACGTGCCTTTATGCAGACACTTGTCTCATTCAAAAATTTCAATGGACCTTACCCAAAATAAAATTGACTGCAAGCATAAAGACGGATTGGTTTGCATTAGGTAGCAATTCAAAGTTTACAAAAATATGCTGTCTTCTGAATTTTAGACATTTGCGAACCGTAAATATGACTCTCCATTGAGCTTGGTAGGATCTGTTTGTTCAATTCGGCCACATCTATGAAAACAGCCATTGTCGTATGAGAGGACTTGTCAATTGAACAGATACGTTTGTCAATTAAGAGAAATTTAATTGCTTGAGTGGCAATTTTTTTTTACGTAACATTGCAAAAGAAAGTTAATGATAACAAAGACAGGAAGCATTATTTTGTGCGGTATCTCTCAAAATATGCATGCCCGGTCTTCCTAAAAAATATTGTTTTATATCAAAAAGTGGTTTACCTGGTCATGTACACATTTATATAGATGTAACATTAAACATGCATTTGCATGGACCGGGGAAGCTATATAAACAGAAGCAAGCACGATTACTTTACTCTCCAAATAAAGGATAAGCAAGGTTTCGGTCTATGTACAATTTAATTATAACAAAACACGAGGGCTTGTGTTAAATGTAAATTGAGTGCAGTGGCGCGATTAAATAACTTGCGGATGTGTGGTTTGTGAACTGCTAAAACAGTCGAATTAGGTCAAACATGGTTTAGAATATTTGCTTAAGTGAAATGCAGGAAGTTATCAAGAACAATCAAGACCAACACTTTGCACCATCGCCAATCCAAGCTGAGCTTAAACGTATTTCATTGTTCTTGTTGCCAGCGTTGCCAGATCGTGCAACTTTGCGTACAATTTGGTTTTCTTTAACGCTGTTGTGAATTGTGATTTTTAAAAAATACAACCTTTAAAAAAATGCGCGCTCTATCCTGGCAAAATGGGCATTTTGGCCTGCCATGGCCAGAAATTTGAATATTTTTCACCTCCGGAAAACTGCTTGTGACCTTCATCATGCAACTCGGAATGCAGGCAGAGAAGAAGTGAGCTAGAATGTGCATATACTTCTTCTAAACTTTGTCTAACAGGCTTGGATGTACTCAACAAACGACACCGCACTCTTGATGGATTGGGATTGAGCAATTACTTAAGACATATAATACTTTAACACATTAAACCAACAAGAAAATGCATGCATAAGTTGAACGTCAAAACATTCCACAAACTATGAAGGTAAACATACAAACTGTATGTTTATCAGAAAAGGTCATTGACTACAACTTTAAATCGACCAAATGGAAGCTATTCTCTGGTTTAGAATATTTTAATAACTTTGCCCCTTAAGTTCTCAGCAACCAATTAATAAAACCAGAGTATAGCTGGCAGTTAACACCGAGTTCATATTGGCAGTGGGAAAACAAATATTTCATTATAGGACACAAACACAGTGACGTTCTCAGTGTTTCACCGAGTAATGTTCTCAAAAACATGCGAAAAATTGATGCTTCAAAGGACATTATATATACTCTGAAGTCCACATACTTACTGGGCGAGCTCTTTCTGGGAACGAGAGGAATAGGATCAAATTCATCGTCTTTAGGCTCTGCTGCCTCCTGGTCAGACTTAATGCTAGCCGGCAGGGAGTTAGCCTCCCCTACAGCACATTGCAGTGATGCAAATCCCACCGATCCAGCAGAAGACAGGAGCAGAGAGAAGAAATCGAATTTCAAACGAACCGTCGAAAGATCAAACACAAAATGTGAGCGGCAAAATGTGTCAAGGCAATGTAAAATCTAGAATGTGAAATTAACAATCCCTGCAGTAAAAACACACGCTGTTTTGTGTTTAGCAATATCCTATTCAGTAGATAGTATTCGCCTGCGTGTTCGTATAAAAGCGTTAGTATTTCAAAGGCTGTTAAAGCAGAGTGGAATGCTTGAATTATAAAACTCAAAGTTAAACATTAACTTTTTAAATGAAATATATTAGCAAAAATAAAAACCCATCTGTGTTAGTAATGTGTTACCATGCATACTCTCGCCAGGGCTGCCAAATGGGTCTGACGAAGGCAGCAGATCAGGAAGCAAGAGGGAAGGCTCTGGAGATTTTAGGCCTTGGATCAGTTTTTCTATGGAAAAAGCAGCCAGCCAGAGACGGCACATGAGTAAAGCATACACAGTTGTAAAGGGCCATAGATGGAATTCTGAGTGACCAACCATGCCATTTTTATCCGAAACTTACATACTCATCCCAATCGTCAGTAACATTATGCGTTCTTGTAGGCACAATGATGCCACCTACTGCCAAGAAAGGGACTTGGTAGCTAAACTGGAATTATTTTTTCAGGATGTAAATTGCCTAGATGCATTTTATTGAATTCGATTGAATAATGATACTTTGATCGTGATCACCTTCGAACTAGGTGGCTAATATGCTCTGGTTGCCGAACAACAAATTATAAAGTCGCACTCATTACACACAAAGTGCTTGTCATAACATGAACCGAGAAAACCTTGCTAGCGCTTCAAGGAGCATAAACCATCAAGCAGACTCCAGTCATCCCAGCAGCAGCTTCTGGCTAACCATCGAACAAATACGGTCACTGTATCGTGCGCTTTGAGATGCGTTTCCACGGTCATCTGGAATGTTCTTTCGTCCAATATTAAGAAAGCCACTTGAGCTATGCACTTTTAAATCTGAACTGAAAACCCATTTCTCTAGAACTGCTTTTTTGTTTAGTTTGTCGTCTTGTTCCCCCACACCTCCTATTCAGCACGGTTGGCTACACGTACGGTGCGAAAGAAGTTCAACATACATACGTAGCTGATGTGAGATTCCCCCTTGGTGACTGTTACCTGGATGGTCGGAGTCTGGCAGCGGAGAGAAAGGGTCGGGGGCATCAGCGAATGCAGGGGGAGGAGGGAGCGGAAGGAGAAGGGACAGCTCTGGCACTTCTCTGTCTGCGCATAGAGAGCCAGAGACAAGGAAATAAAATGATAGACAAGGAGGTTGAAAGATGGTGATAATTACAGCAGCAGCAGGAAACAGGAGCATTTGGTAATGAGCGTGTGGGTACAGTAAACCATGAGAGCGCAAGTCAACGTATGACTCATGCAGCAGCAGCAGCAACAAAAAACCTACGTCAATACTTGAAAGGGAACTCGTGACTATGTAGTGCGTTTTCTACTACCTGGTCTAAATTTAGTGCCGTATTGGATGACTGGCGAAAAATGTTCCTGAACATCACTGAATGCACATTTGTGAGATAACAGTGTTACACATGATTACTTTACACACAGCGTCAAGACTTTTTTTTTAATGCCTTCAGGCGGACAACAAAAAAAACAAGTTTGGCTACCTCATTATTCCTGAGTATCGAGGGTGCACAGTACCTGCTTTGGAAACAAAGGGCACGGCACCGAAAATGTCGGTCTGTGCCGGAGCTTGCTGCGTGGCCACCTGCCCTGTGGTCGTTGGCGGGTGTTGAACCTGCACCTTGGTCTGGGGAGCCTGTAGGCCAGGAATCAGGCTATCGACAGGGGTCCGTGCGCCTTCCTCCTTGTTTCCTGCGAGATAAAACGATCGACTCAAGTACGGGCCTAAGATTCTGTCATGGAGTTGCCCATGGAGTACTGTTCACAGGCATCTTTTCAACGCGACTCTATTTAACAACACCCACACCAGCTTCAATTACACAACACCCCATCAAAAACACTGATCTGTAAAAGCAATTGCGTTGGTTTTTTTTGTTCCTCCCAGTTCAAAAAGACAACCTCCACCAACTCGCACTCGTAAAGACGTCGTTGCACTGCGTAAGGAGAGGGGGGGGGGGGACTGGTGAGGGCACGTTACCCGCAAGGCGCTCAGACGAGAGGGAGGTGAAGTCGTCCCCAAAAGGATTCCAGGTGGTGAGGTCCGGGGCGTTGGCAGCACACCGGCTAACATCCTGCTGCGACGAGCGTGGGGATCCTGACGGGGTGGTGCTTGCAGATCTGTGCAGGCAAACAATTTCGCCACGCCAAGGTTAAAATACAAATGATGACTCAAAGTCGAACTGGGACTGCGGGCAATTTCAGGAAACGTTCAGTAATTCGTACACAACTACAATGAGGGATTGTGGTACCCTCAGCAGACCTCACGAGGAAAGGCACTTTAAGGGTACAGATTTCCAAACGTTTCAGATTGTTTGATGCTCTCTTGTGTATTTGTATTGACTTTTATTTAAAAAAAACTACTTCTGGGCTGAATGAATTCAGTCGAATGTTGATTTTTTTTCAGATGAAAGCAATTGTTTTGTTGCACAATAATTGTATTAAGGGAAATAGGTTAGAATTTATTTAATTTGTGTAATTTTAGATGTTGGAAATTTTCCAGCCAACTGACTCAACATAATTAAATTATACAAATGGATATGCATGGAAAGTACGTTGTACATACTCAGCCCTTTGTAATATCCACTGCTGGATGAGGGTCTCCATATTATTTGACTATACCTTACCATGCTGTACAGTGTGGGTTAGTGAAGTCAAAGAAGCATAGATTTGGGAGCAAATACAACATCACATTTTTCTGCCTACTGCATCATCCCTAAAGTTTGTCATATTTTATACATATTTCCAAACGAATGACACTTTACAAAATGTACTCTCTCATATTATTCTCCGCTCATATACACCAACCTCACACTACTGTAACAAGACAAAAATGCCATTATAGCCTGAACAGACTTTTGGGGAAAGTGCTGTTAGAGAGCACCTATTAAGGCTGACACGGCACACGAGGAGGTGGGCGGCCAGCACGACACCCGATCGCCTTTCTCTCCCCAGTGGTGATGTTTACACAACACACCAGGTACTCATTTTAACACGAGTTGACCTAGGGGAGGCCCCGGACTGGTTAAGATAATCGTCGCTGGTGTTAAGCCGTGAGCAGGAATTGAACTCGGGTCACCGGGTTCATAGCGCAGCGCGTTAACCGCTACACTACCGCATGCATACACACGTTTGTATGTAGGTGTGCATGTTGAACGTCTGTCGTACCTTACATAGCACACCATGCAAATCAAGAGGTACGGGGAAAGGACAACAAACTAAACTCATTAACTGCTTTTTGTCCTTCCCCCCACACCTCCAATTATCACAGATTGCTACGTACGGTGCAAAAATTCAACATACACACATATCTAGAGCTGAACTTGAATAATCTCATAACAGACACGCATATATATATACACAGTTCAAGTCACACCGTCCACTCGACTCAACCTGCTCACTTGGACTTGTTGAGCGAGGCTTGCGCGGCGGCGGCCGCCATGACCTGCGTGGAGCGGCTGGCCGGCACGCCGTACACGGAGCTGTAGGTCACGTCGCTCAGGATGCGACGGTGGCCGCTCGCTCGCTGCGCCTTGGGGGACGAGGGCGGCGTTACCGACAGCAGCCGGGGACCCTGCTGCTGGCTTGCCTGGGCCGGATGATGCATCTGAGCCAGCTGATGGGGGGAGCGCGAGTAGGGAAAAGGAGAGCGAATGAGTCATCTGCGCAGCGATATTAGCATTATAATGGTAGGTGAGAGGACGAGAGAGAGTGTGAGAGCACGAGAGAGAGAGAGAGATCACCGTCACTGCGGGGCTTAAAACGAGCTTCGGAGGATGATAATCTGAGGTCACATCAGTGCAGGCCCGCACAGTTTTCAGAATACATCAGAATTGTCCCCACAGCCCGTGCTAATTTACCGTGCAGCGACAGCTCTCAAGCTGGGGTATGAATCATCTGTCTAAAATGTGTGGCGCTTTGTTCTTACACCCTTTTCATACGACGATATTTTCTTCCAACTAAGTGCTCGCAATTATTTTCCTCACGTATCGTATTTTATAATGACTGGTTTACATCATGCTGCAGATATATAGAATTTTAAAAAGAGTGGCCTTTGATTAAAATAGTTTTGGTTAAACAATGTATGTTTTTTGGTTGCAATTGCTCGAAGAAAACACAACCAATTTGATAAAAGACATGAGAAAAAAATTACTCAATCCTGAGCTATAAGGAATGTATTCATATTGGCGACCCTTTGTTCCCTCACTCTAATAGGCAGTAATGTTGAAGTGTGGTGGGAGAAGTTACAGATTAGATACACACGACAGTACCTGAACTTCGACCTTGGAAAAAGTAATACTCACACGACTGTTCACAGCAGGGTGAATTTGATTCCCGGCCACAGTTAACATCAGCACCTCCGATCAGCACGATTAACTACGTACGGTGCAAAACAAGTTCTGCATACGTACGAGAGATATCTGAACCAACCTCTCCACTCCACCTCCCGTCCTTTACCAACCCACACATCCAGCATGGTCAAGTATGGTCAAACAACAAACACGACCGATACGGCATAGGGAGGCCTGCATCGAGTAATACATTCGCAATGGGCTGCACATTTTTACTCGTACCATTGTTGCTCCTGGGTACCATTTTGTGTGCTCCCTTTATAATAGCTAAGTGCAGTAGTTTGTAGCGATGCAGAAGAGTGCCACACAGTATACACCACACTCTGCACATCTGCCGTTGTGTGTGGCAGCCACACTCACCATAGCCTGCTGCTGCGCTGCCTGCTGTTGAGCCGCCTGTTGCATGACGGCACACTGCTGCATGTACAGTTGCTGTTGGAGCAACATTTGCTGCTGTTGCTGCTGCAAGAGGAACTGCTGCTGCTGCTGCGGATGCATGGCCTGGAGCTGCTGTGAGTGGACAGCACACAGAGGTAACACGCGCTTAAAATTATTTGGCTGCTAAAAATGTCCACGTGATATGCCACTTCATTAAGCTATTATTTGTGGCCAGGTCTCTTTTGAAAAAGAAGCTAATAACTCAGTGGGCTTTAACTGGTAAAATAAAAATAGTTTGATTTTATTTGTATTGTTTTTAGTGACTTATGATTTCTCCAGTATAAATATCCTGATTCTGAGGTACACGCGCAACCATTTGTTGTCCGGTAAGAGGTAATGGAGGGTGAAGCTGCGGCGCAGTTGCCTTATACTCCGTGCTATAATCCTGCCATCCCGCGTTCGATTCAATACCATTGCTAACATTAGCGACCGGTGATATCTCATTACTCATCCTGGGCCGTTCCCCCCCCCTCCTCACCCCCTAGTTCACAAACTTGTACTGACCAGCAAGATGTACGGTCAATCGACCTCATGTCCAGAATGGCGTGGGAGCCCTCGTTCAGCAGAAGATTGATAGTGGGCTGTATATTATTTATTGTGACATTCAGAGGAAACTATTTCCACTGGGCATTATGACTATGCAGCTCCTAGTCATTAACCGGGACACAACACTTCCGTTGAAATTCAGTTCTTACTCGTTGAAATTAATGGTGCGTTAAAAGCTAATAAAACATCTGTACATCACTGCACTTTCAAAATATTACGTGATTGTAAAAGCAATAAAAACGGTATGCGTGTATTTGTGCGCATGCAGTGTTGGGTAACTCGTCACTTTTCACCTTCTTAAATGCAGCGTTATTTGTAAAGGGAAGCCACGTGGAAAACATGTTTAATCAACTAATAGTTTAATTCCATTATTATACCCAGCATGTAAAAGTCAATATCTAGGTTACAAGTTACAATCAATATGTTGTAAAAGAGCATGGTGATTTTTTTTTATATGCGCATTGCAGTTTTACTCATGATAACTTGTTGGCAATTTAGCAGGTGGATTCACATAACTGACTTTCGTTTTACGACTGCATTATTCACAATTAATTAACTTTTTACGTGTTGAATGTATAAATGCAAATGCTTGCATTCTTTACAGCATAAAAAAGTGCTAGAAAAAATAATTCTGTAAAATCCCTAAAAAAGCCACTTTAACCCATCTCCAATGTTTAATTTACACAGCTATGCCAACTCATGTTTTAGTTTTTCCTTGAAAAAATATATAAAATTCAGCACAGCTATAATGTATTATCATTACACCTAACAGCTTTTCCCAGAATTCAAGAAAACCTCGAACCTGTTGGGCTTGAGCTTGAATCATCTGCTGCTGCTGCAGGTAGGCCTGTTGTAGTTGCTGCTGTTGGATCAGCTGCTGTTGTTGCAGGAGCTGTTGCTGCTGCTGAATCTGGACCTGCTGAGCTTGCTGAACAGGCTGTGCGGGTTGAGCCGGCTGTGAGTTCTGTGCTGTCAGCTGCTGCTGCTGTCCGTTTGGCGGCATCGCCGGCTGAGGCTGGGCTGCTGCCGGAGGAGCCGTTTGGCTCGCGGTCGCATTGGACGAGTTGGTCACCGGCATGGACGCTAACAACACGAACGCGCACCGGTCAGGTGCAGCAGAAGCAGAGCACTCGTCAACCTTTCCCCCCCCCCCCCCCGCGACGTATTAGAGTCAAGTGTGGGTGTGTACGGCGAGTGAGGGTTGCCACCTCTTGAGGCGCAAGTAAAACCAGGACATATCACGGGACGAAGAATATCTCACAATGCCGAAATAGGGGAGAGCTACACGTAAATACGTTGTCTTGAGTGGGGTAATCATTACGCCATTGACAAAAACCGAGACTTTTAATGTCCTGGGAAAACTTTCAGATTTCCTAGGATGGCCACCTCGAAGGGAGGACACAATTCTAGAAAAACCATTACAGGTGGCAACCGGGTCGCTGAGAGTGCACGGCAGTATCTACCCTCCAGTGAGCTCCCTTCCTGTCCCTGGTCAAACTGAAGCAGCCACAGTGTCCCTGCCTCCTCACCTGCTCACACCCTGGACAGTGTCTGGCTGCTGAAGTACTCAAGCTAAACCGGGTCATCCCAACAAATATCGGTGATGCCACCAGATCTCTCGTCAAGGAGCATAAACCAATCACACGAACTCCGTTCATCCTCGCAGCGGCTTTTGGCGAGCCATCGGACAAAGACGGTCAGTGCATCGCGCACTTTCAGACATGCTTCTGCAGCCATCTGGAACGCTCCTTCCTTCTGATATTAAGAAGCCACTGGAGCTATACACTTAAATCTCGATTGAAAACAAATTTATTCAGAACCAGTGAGGGAAAAAAGTATTTGATCCCCTGCTGATTTTGTACGTTTGCCCACTGACAAAGAAATGATCAGTCTATAATTTTAATGGTAGGATTATTTGAACAGTGAGAGACAGAATAACAACAAAATCCAGAAAAACGCATGTCAAAAATGTTATAAATTGATTTGCATTTTAATGAGGGAAACAAGTATTTGACCCCCTCTCAATCAGAAAGATTTCTGGCTCCCAGGTGTCTTTTATACAGGTAACGAGCTGAGATTAGGAGCACACTCTTAAAGGGAGTGCTCCTAATCTCAGCTTGTTACCTGTATAAAAGACACCTGTCCACAGAAGCAATAAATCAATCAGATTCCAAACTATCCACCATGGCCAAGACCAAAGAGCTCTCCAAGGATGTCAGGGACAAGATTGTAGACCTACACAAGGCTGGAATGGGCTAGAAGACCATTGCCAAGCAGCTTGGTGGGAAGGTGACAACAGTTGGTGCGATTATTCACAAATGGAAGAAACACAAAAGAACTGTTAATCTCCCTCGGCCTGGGGCTCCATGCAAGATCTCACCTCGTGGAGTTGCAATGATCATGAGAACGGTGAGGAATCAGACCATAACTACGGAGGATCTTGTAAATGATCTCAAGGCAGCTGGGACCATAGTCACCAAGAAAACAATTGGTAACACACTACGCCGTGAAGGACTGAAATCCTGCAGCGCCCAAAGGGCCCCCTGCTCAAGAAAGCACATATACATGCCCGTCTGAAGTTTGCCAATGAACATCTGAATGATTCAGAGGACAACTGGGTGAAAGTGTTGTGGTCAGATGAGACCAAAATGGAGCTATCTGGCATCAACTCAACTCGCCGTGTTTGTAGGAGGAGGAATGCTGCCTATGACCCCAAGAACACCATCCCCACCGTCAAACATGGAGGTGGAAACATGTTTTGGGGGTGTTTTTCTGCTAAGGGGACAGGACAACTTCACCGCATCAAAGGAACAATGGACGGGGCCATATACCATCAAATCTTGGGTGAGAACCTCCTTCCCTCAGCCAGGGCATTGAAAATGGGTCGTGGATGGGTATTCCAGCATGACAATGACTCAAAACACACGGCCAAGGCAACAAAGGAGTGGCTCAAGAAGAAGCACATTAAGGTCCTGGAGTGGCCTAGCCAGTCTCCAGACCTTAATCCCATAGAAAATCTGTGGAGGGAGCTGAAGGTTCGAGTTGCCAAACATTAGCCTCGAAACCTTAATGACTTGGAGAAGATCTGCAGAGTGGGACAAAATCCCTCCTGAGATGTGTGCAAACCTGGTGGCCAACTACAAGAAACGTCTGACCTCTGTGATTGCCAACAAGGGTTTTGCCACCAAGTACTAAGTCATGTTTTGCAGAGGGGTCAAATACTTATTTCCCTCATTAAAATGCAAATCAATATATAACATTTTTGACATGCGTTTTTCTGGATTTTTTTGTTGTTATTCTGTCTCTCACTATTCAAATAAACCTACCATTAAAATTATAGACTGATCATTTCTTTGTCAGTGGGCAAACGTACAAAATCAGCAGGGGATCAAATACTTTTTTCCCTCACTGTATTTTTTGTGGTTAGTTAGTTGTCATTCCCCCGCACCTCCAATTAACACGGTTGGCAACGTTCTGTGCTAAAGAAGTTCAACATAGCCACTTGAAGATGTTTTTCTTGTTCGTGTTTTTGTTTTTTTTGTTTGTTGTGGTTGCACCCGATTCAAGAGCCGAATGGCTCACAGGGCTATACCAAAATAAACTGAACTGAATAAACTGAACTGAACATACATACATACTTACATACAAATCTCAAGATCGCGACTTTTCTTCTACAAGATCCCACAGCAATTCAACGGTTGACACCTGGGACCTTCAAAGTCTGCTCTTACAGTATCAACCAACTAATGCAATTTTACATCCCCCCCCCCCCAATCCCCCTATCTTGAGTGGCACCCTTCATTGATGACCCCCCCCCCCCGTATAGACACTGTGCCCGAGCATCACAATCTGCTTACCTGGCTGGGTGGCGACGGCAGCGGCGGTTGCCACAGGCCTCTTCCTGGGCGTGGAGACTGCCTGCAGGGGCAGGATGCCCACCGCACCGGGATTTGTCTGCCCTGCCTTAGGCCTTTGTCGTGGGGCAATCGACGTTTCAGTGGGGCCAACCGTTTCAGTGAGTCTGTGTGAAATCGGGTGTGGAAATGTTAGTGGGTAAACTGTCGGGCGAACGGTCAACAACGCTTAAGACGGCGTGTAATGGGCCAAGGATCACCAGATTGCTGGCTACAGATGTGGCTGCTTAGGCTACATGGTGTAGTCGATGATTGTGCAATTACCCGATTTGAATGTTCGAGTACGCGCACGAATTGAGCTCCAATGCTTGCCATGATTTGTTAATCATTTTAAAAATCTTGCAAGCGACCAGCTCACCATGTAGCTCTTTGGCAAACCACTGCCATATGAGGGCCTTCCCCACACGCTGCGGGTCGTGGGGGTTATTTGACCGTACGTCCCCACCCTGGTCAGTGCAGGTTGGTGAAAGCGGGCAGCATAAACATTGGCGCACAGTACAACGGATTTTGCTGCACAGCCCAATGATGACAATGTCGCCTTGCAGCAGCCTACAATACTTGTTTTATGCACGGTGGTCATCCAGGCAGGCACTGTGCAAGCTCAACCCCTCCCCCACCCCTCCTGGAGGCATTATTCAGCGATGTTCTGCGCGATCTGAAGATATCGGGTGTATTCCAGGTAATTTGATCAAAATCGCATATATATCCAACCATAATGATAACCCAGAACAGATGCGTAACTACAGTCAATCGAATTAAATGGGGACCATGGACTGAAGACGACTGCATTTTGTACGAGAAATCAGATTAGAAAGAAAGAAAACTCACTTGGTTTTGGACTGTGTCTTCCTGGCAGCAGCTTCACTCGCTTTCAGTGGCTCCGGCAATTTATTGGGAAGGGACAGGCCCTGCAAACGACCACGCGCAGTCAAACCAACGGCACTGTTCAGTCACTCGATCTCAGTGACCACTGTGAGTTTTGTTGCCCTTTAATAGTCTATCTCAAACGAAGAACCTTTTAAGAACCCAAATGGCAAACGGCAAACACTGGTCCAAGGCCATGGTGATAAATTACTGTAACCTAATCAACAATTTGATGCTGGTATTTTGATTGACACAGACACACCTTGGCCATACTGTGAAATTCAAACTGTGCTCATCATAATGCTAACAATGCAAGCAAAACATCCTCAAGTGTAATCTTGAACACCATTCTGGCCCGCTGGCCAGTATTATCCAGTCATGATCTGCAGTTAAACGAAACATTATACTCCCTTGGCATAACATGGACATTATCACCGTGTAGCATAAAACATACATAGAGTATTCCTTCGTAATTAGCTAGTGATATGTTCCAGAGATGCTCTTGAATAGCAAATTTCACGGCCAATAGCACTGGCCTACGAACACTTTATCTCATCACTTTCTGACATCACATTCCCTCTCATCGCTTTCTTACTCGATGCCGTTGTGCAGAGTTTCAGATGTGATTCGCGGACAGCCAAAATCGCGGATATCAAGTTTGTGAATAACGATGGAATACTGTGTAATGCTATGTCATTTGTAATAAAAAAATATCAACGTAACTTAATTTATTTATCCATAGGCAATCCAACATATAGTGTGCGCGCACCCATGCACAATTGCTTTTGAATAGTTACAAAAAGAAACAAAGCTATATCCTATGTTCCCACAGCTTGATTTGATTACCCGCAAACATGGAAGACATTCGTTTAATTTCCAAGACGATTGCACTTTAAGTAAAAAATATATGCAACACATAATTTATGAGGAGATAGTCAACAACAATAGAAAAATAGTAGCTTACATTGACATTCAGAATGGGACATTCTTTGCCTGAAAGCTTGAATGCAAAGCAGGCCACCTGGTAGATTTCCGGCCTGCTGTCTGGATCAGGCTCCAGCATGTAGCCTGATACAAAGATAAGGGTTAAAAATATTTGTAATGGTATATGCCTTTTGTCAATCCACTGCTGGATGTATGTATAACTTCTTCTTTCACACCGTTACGTAGCCAACCATGTAAATCGGAGGTGCGAATTAAGACCTCCCCATGCTGTGGTCACAGGGGTTGTTTGACCATACTTGACCACGCTGGTCAGCGTGGGTTGGTGATTGTGGGTCCCAGGACTGGTTCAATTATCACTGGTCACTGATATTAGTCATAGCCAGGAATCGCCCACGGGACACAGGGTTAATTGCAAAGTTGTACGAAACACTATGCTATTATTGCTTTTTTACAGGCATTAGATACAATAATTTTAGCATGCATTCAAATTATATCAATATTGGCCCTGCGGGAAGATCCTCAATGAAATAATGAATAATTCGTCTTGTGGATGGCAGCATTGACATCGGAAGAGCGGAGGCAAACTGCTGTTACCATATTTGTGGCGAGTCTGCTATGAAAAATTCAACAGAGGACAATACGCATGACGTAATGCTAAGGTCTTAACAAAGATATTTTAAGGCAGCAGGGCAGGCAAGGTGAAACAAAGCCTCGTTAAAGCAAAAAAACAAACGTACATTTCAGGAGCACCAAATTAGCAAGATACCCAAGTACTCATCAGTGCACAAAAGCACAGAAAGGTTGTCATTGATGAAGACAAATTTCATTGATGAAGACAAATTAAAACCTGTAATTTTCTCCAAAAACGGTAAAGATGTATTTATTATATAATAGCATTTTCAAACTAACTTACTTAATGTATGAAAAAAATGTTTATAAACTCAGCTTTCAGTAATGACGTGTCATTAAAAATGTTAGGGGATAATAAATAAGCAAAACCACCACTCTCGTACGTCTAAATTTGCTGCTATATTAGCCTTCCCCACGCCGTGCAGGGCGTTAAGGGATTATTTGACCCATATCTCACCACAATGGTTAGTGCAAGGTTGGTGAAGGCGGCAAGTCACTTGTACAGTTATAGCACAGAAATAGATTACAACGGATTTTTCTGCAGTGCCCTCTGCTGCCCACAACATATACCCATAACAATATAATAACAATTAAATATTCCCGGAAACAATTCCATACCGCCGTAATGTTGTGTGCCATGTGCGGAGGAAATGCAGACGTACGTATAAGACAGTGCATTTCATGCGAGTAGCGGGAGTGGTCGGGTATGGTGAAGTTCCCGTCGCATATTGCCACCTGACTCTCCCCGAACGGCAGCGTAAAGAAGCACAGCTTGTACAGCAAACATCCCAGGGCCTAAAGGGAAGAATAAACGAAAGCTAATTGTATTCATCCAAACAACAACCGCTCTCTTATACATATATATTTAAAAATATGATTTCAAGCGGTGTTCCCGACATGTTGTACACTTTCTAAGCGCTATAAAAAATATACGACTCCATTTGTACGGCTGTGTTAATACATAGATAATAAAATGTATTTATAACTATGCCACCGGTGGGATCTATACCAGCTGGACAAGTGGTGTTTGGATTCTTCCTTTGCTTTTCCAGGCCCCTTCAAATGTCTTAGGTACCCTGCAGGCTGCTTGGCCTCTTGCAGGTCTCTTAAAGCATTTGCATTCTTCCTGGGACACATGAACTCCTGACTTCAAACCCCTGACATAAAATATATTAATTTATCAACGTATCTAATACATAAACATTACCTTCAGACTGACAGTAGCTTTTTATCTCCACATAAATCAAAATTATATTTTCGTCTATTGGCCGGCTGGCCTTCCGACCTCTGGAACTAGTTTTGCCCTTGCAGGGTTAAAATTTGGCTGTTTTACATAACCCTGGAAGGTATACGGGCTGTTACACTGAAATATATTTTATATCCATGTGAAGATACACAGCTCATGTGTTTGTTTTATGACCCAGAATGTAGTGTTCGTTGAGATTTTATACATCGTTTTTTCGTCATTATAATTTGCATTTAACTTATTAATTAAATAGAGATTTGATTGAATAAGTAACGAAAAGAGATGCTTCACTGATTATCTAATGGCCCTTCTCCTAGGTTGTATAAGTGTGTGCAAGATACAACGAAAGTGTACCCAAATGTCGGACTTTGCTGTTATGGGTGTCCCGTTGTACAAGTTGACCATCTCCGGAGCCCTGTATGACAGCGTTGTGTACCTGAACAAACATCACAAGGTCCATATAAATTCTACCTCCTACCCCCACCCCCATCCATGCATGAGAACATACCACAGTACATTTACAAAATTCCCAGAATGTCAACATCATATTTATCATACACACGTAAAGGCAGATTACTATTTACGAAGATTGTTTGAGATGAATCGGCAATCATCATAGCAAACATATTATATAGTGCTGAAAAACAATCTTTAAAAATATCAATTGTCCAGTTGCAACAACATACAAAAAAAATCAATGCAAAGCTATGTATTTCTTCCCATTCTGCATTTGTTTTGGTTTCAGGGCCATCTGTCAAGTCTGCTTGCACAACAAATCTTGACACTGCCTCCCCCTTCTGAATGGATTCCAAGGATCTAACCTCTGTCAAAAAGGAAAAAAAAAACTGCAAGGCAGGGTTCATAGCTTTTATGTGCAATAATTTAACAAAAAATATGAAAAGAGGTAACAGGTCTTATTTTAATGGTGATATGTAGTAGCTCCAAAACCAGGAGCGTTTCAAGTTATTTTGTCAGCTGTTTTGTGAACAATTTTGCCACCATTGTCTGTTGTGATATTACTGCCAGTTGCGGTGGAATTACTGTCAATCTGTAAGTGACAATGCGACTGTAGTATAAAAAATATTCTGAATAATATACGTTTATGTCTCCTTACAAAAAGAAACAAATAACCTCATGCACGTCTAACCGAAAACTTTAAAAACAGTAAAAAAAAGTGACTCGATGGCAAAAAACACGTCAGAAGAATGTGCCGCCGTTAGGTTAAATGTCACTGCTGCTCTTGGCTAGCTTTCAGCGGGTGACGCAGAGAGCGAGTTATGGGCAATAGCCACATGAAGCGAGGGTTGGAGGTATCCGGCCTGGCTCTGGCCTGGCTCCCCCTTGGTGAAGCCATGTGAAAAGGCCGGTGTGAAGGCCAAGTTGGCTCGTACTTTTTAATCTCGTCTTCAACGGCGCTGACCCCATGCGCTTGAGGGTTCAGGATTTTGTTGGTGGCGCTGCCAAAGTCGCACAGCACGTAGTTTCCGTTGTCGTGAAGCAGGATGTTCTCAACCTGTGGCACACAGATATATCATTTGGGCTAGGCATCTTCAAGCAAGCTTTCACATTTGAAAAAAATAGTAATTGGACACTTTTGACACTTCTCTGCAAATCCGGAAAATGTCATGCTGTTAGGACACTAATAAACTAATAATAATCCTGTTAAATGAGATGTTCGTAATTAAAGGAGGGGTATAACTAACGACATCCTAGAATAGTTAATGCCATACTTATCAAATTATAAAATGTCACTTGATACAGCCCACACTATATATATCTACAAAAATTGTCTGGATTATTATAACTCTGTATCATTGTACTTATCTAAAAACATTTAAATTATTCTACCGTCGGCCTCGATCCATATCAATTTCAATTGTTGTCATGCATCTAAACAAAGACACGATTAATATTTAAAGCCCAGAGTGTATGTCGTGCAGTGGTGATTAATCTGGCTATTATTTGAAGATATCTTTTGCATTCACTTTCAACTAATAACCTGCCAGCATATTCTACGGGGACTCAGAAGGGTGGTTAGCTGGAAAGCCAACAAGCGAAAGGCAAGCGAGATGATCGGTGTATAATTAACAGCTCGTGATGCCAGTACAGTATTCCAAGGTACCTTCAGATCGCGGTGGATAATCGGCGTTTTGCACTGGTGAAGCCGGGCAACAGCTTCGCACGTGTCACAAAATATCCTGAGGACCTCGCACTCTGTGAACCCTGTGCTCAACCTTTGATTCATCTGGTTTACCACCTGGCCCGCTAGAGGTGAAAGGTTACACAGAAACAAGACAGACTTCAGGGTCCCATTGCATTCACCAAAATAAAACAGCGAGCGTTCACATTCAGTCTCACACCTGAGAATAGAGGCACGGACGCATGGTTATTTATGCAGGTGACCACAGCTGTTTCTCTTCCCTGGGGTGATATGAGAAGAAATGGGGGATACGTAGAGCAGAACTCAAAAGTGAGACGGCTGGCAGGTGCTTTTATGCACATCACATGGAAGTTTATCATTTGCAGTGTGCCTTGTGAATGCCTGCCTCGACAGTAAAATCCCACCAGCAATTAATAACTCTGCAGTGACATACCGGTGCCTACTTTTACAGTGGCGATAGTTCAGTGCTCCACACATACCATTTGAAATGTAATTTAAAACACAACGGTGCACAGTAAAATCAACCACATGTGCTTCGGTTACCATTTTACCATTATTTGGATACGAGACCATCGCAGGTTTTATAATAAAGGTTAGCCCAGTATGCTTCAGGCATACATTCATAAAACATGCGCAATGCTGTGTGTGAGAGCCCTTGGCTCAAACGCCGGCGACGGCAATGCTGAGCGGCGCATGCGTTATCGGGCACAGCCGTACGGAAAGCACGCGCGTTTGAAGCATAAGCAAGTGAGCGTTGAGAGGACACGCTCGGCCACTCGCGCGCCACACATTAACACACAACGGCAGTGCTGACGGCAGCGATCAATTGCGTCCATGGATAATCTAAATCTAGGTAGCATGGTGGGACAACTCGTTAGCCTCATACTGCTTGACCAAAACAAAAACAACCACACAAATTACAAGTGAGATAAATTCCATTCGATTGTATAAAGTAAAGGCACATGCAAGATGGTTCAACGCTTGGCTGGGAGGCTTCCAAGTGTAGAAGGATATACTGTGGCTTTTGTGCTGATTTAACACGAGGCTTGAGCTGGGCTTACCACGGCATATCTCCATGAGAATGAGCACTTCCCAAACGCCGCTGGAGGTCTGGGCATTAATACTCGAGTCCAGATAACCTACTATGTTTTTATGTCCGGACAGCTCTTTCTGTTTCAAAGTGGAAAATGGAGCGGACAAAAATAAAAATGTATCATAACGAGATCATTCGTCAAGGTTCAGTACACACAATACAGTGGTTTATTCTGTTATTGAGATAATCCACTCGATGGGTTGCCTTAGGTTTTTTTCACGTATTTATTTTATACCATTACAGTTCACATGTCTTCATTGCAACAATGTACAGAATGCACCTTGATTTAGTGTTATTAGATGGGGACTACCGAGTCTGAATAGGAGTGGAAGAACGTAGGATTAAAAACATCAGTTTCATATGCAAACCATAGTTCCTGAAAAATAAGTGGGAGTTAACTGTTAGAGCATTTTACATGCCCTCATGACATTATTAAAGGTCATTTTCCAAAACATTGCATTGCAGGTACCTATCAATTTCTCCAAAAATATAGCTGCTGTTACACATTATATGGAGTCAAATCAACACGAGTGAAATTAACATACGAACCGCAATATTTATGTGAAGAATATATGACCAAATCAGATGGAATAAGCCTGATCTCTTCAGGTCTCAGTCTAAGCAGGGCTGAGCATGTGTGACTGCCATGCACGCTAGGTTGTCATACGTGGCGACTGGCCAGTGCTGTGCGGCAGTCAGCAAAGGGCAGTGCAGAAAAATCCACCGTTGTATTGTAATTCTATGCTCCCACGTCTATGCTCCCCGCCTTCACCAACCCGCACTGACCAGTATGGTGAGTTATGGTCAAATAACCCCTGCAGTGCAGGGAGGCCCGCATCCAGTAGTGTACTGACAAAGGGATGTATAAGCCATTATCGGGAAAGGTGATGGTGCTTCTGGACTTTTTAAGATATACTGACATGTTCTGGCCTTTGTAGAAAACTCTTACCATGATGGTGATTTCCCTCTGGCAGACCTTCAGATCGTGTTCATTGTTAACGTACATGCGCTTGAGTGCAGAGCGAACTCCGCCCGATGTTTTCACAAGAAACACAATGGCAAAGCCCCCTGCGGAGAGAATCAAATTGCACAGATTACAATGTGCGCCACGACCAGAGGAATAACCGACCGACGTGGCATTACGTCACCCGGCCAGATGATCCATTACTGCCAAGTGCCAGTGGCTAATTTAAGATGAGCCGTAAAATAATTTAAAAATGACACCACTGCTTCAGATATATGGTACAGTTGAACACTATCATCAAACTTTAATTGATTCAATATAACTGACATGTCAGATATTCAGCCTCAAAAAGACTGGCTTGCCAACTGCTAACTTATCCAGCATTCAAAATATTAATGCCAGCATAGAGGAGAAAAACGTTTCCATATTACCATCACAAGTTCATTAGTCAAGGTTCAATTTTGGCACACTCAACAAAATGGTAAAATCTGCTATTGAGACTATCCACTAAATGGATTGCCTTCTGTATTATTTCAAGTGTTTATATTCCATTATCATGGTTCATGCGATGCAGAGCCCTTATAATGCTGTGGCTCAGCAGTGTTCAGCCTTAAATTGTTCATGCCCCCTATTGTTTAAAATCGCACGGACACTCTACGATTGTTTGGACAAATTCTTAACTGTAAGAACAGTAAACAAATAAAGAAAAAAAGTGACAAAAACCAACATCCTCCATGAAAGAACGCGTTTTATTCATTCACTATGTCAACAGAGGAGGGGTTCTTTGAGTATAGCTGTTCATGTGCCTAATGGATTGTTGCCCATTCCAAATACCAACATGGCAAGTCCATGGCAACAATGACCGACTCAACTGGCAACCAGTGCCGGCTGATGAAGAAACACAGTACAATAATAAAGACTTGCCTTGCAAAAGGATACCGGTCTCGAGTCAGGTATTATGAAGGGCGCCTGGGCAATTGCGGCATGAAAAAAGCCTGACGTGAGCAAAGCAGCCCCGCATGGAACTCGATAGTATCTGTACGACCAGCCGTGTTGTCCCGAGCGGTGCCACACCATCAGCGGGCGAGTTACAACAACGGTGGAACATGTGTTTGAATGATTTCCCACGTAGCCCAAATAATAATACATTGTGTAGAATATAGATTAAAATAGGGCCAATCAAGGATGCTTCCCTGCATCACTGCAGCGCTACGTTATAACCAAAAGGCTTACACCTTGAGCTATTAAGATTCAATGACTCCACTTATTTTCAAAGTCGCACTCCAAACAAAACAGGTATGTTTCATGTTATGAATGAATTGACAGCGCTGTGTATGTTATTTCAATACACTATTTCAATACACACGGTGCACCTGCCCAAATACTTTTGTTTAGCTAAAGGGCCTTCAGCAGGGGGCTTACAGTACATCCTGTTTGGCAATTCAACTCCCCACTTCAAATCACTTGCTACACGATGTTTTACATTTAACTTTAATACAACCTCGCATTTCTAAATTGTCCAGGAATAACAAGGCTGCATTATTACGTAATTGCAACGTCAATTTACAAATGCCATCATCAACTTACAAAACTTGTGTCATTAAACGGTGCCTTTCGAAGCCTTGTGCAATGTAGAAATACATTTTAAAACACTTTTTTTGGCCTAAGATGTCGGTTAGTTCTTCAACTTTAAGGCAAACTGGCATCTTTCATTGCTGCAGTTTTCAAACTCTCATCTGACACAATTTTCTTGACGCTTGGACAAGTGAATGATACACAAGCAATGTGCTGAATGAGTTAATCTGGGAAATTGAATTCTTAATTTAGCCAGGATTTTGTACTGGAAAGCACAGCAGCACTGTTCTCCAAACCATTACGTCAGCCCATTGAGCATAAGTTCAACTGTACGTGCTGAATACATAGGAAACCTATTACGTTTACTGATGGTACAAAACAGCAGATACAAATATTTTTGAGCGTGCATTACATTTGAATGTCTCAAAACACCGTGCACTGCAGTAAACACAATTAAATGGAATATTCTGCCAGTATCCATGTCACCATTAAATGTACTCAATACACAATTAATTGAATACTAAAGTATAAGACAGAACTAGACATATCCAGTATTTTGCCATAAAAGTATATATAGGTTTATAGATAGTCATAAAAATTGTATTATGAAACATATGACTTGTAAAGATATTAGTGAAATGTACGTGTGAAAATGTAGCATATTTTTACTTGTAATCCGAGACATTAATGTGAAATGAATGCACAAGGTTTTATTTATTGCAATATTTGAAACGTAGTTTTTTTTGTTTAGCCAATCTTTTAATGTTAATTTATGGATGAGTTAATGTAAATGACTTGTAAAAATAGGGTATGTTTCAGGGAACAATGACAGTATAACAGTAATACGTTACTGGAATGATGCCATTACAATGAAATGCTGCATATGTTACATAAGGTCAAATACCTACCACAACAGCTATGTCTTTAAATATAACAATCTCTGCTCCATTACGTCAAAACCGGTCAAACACCAAAATTGGCAAGAATCCTAACCATTAACATACTTCCCAACAAGCAGTAAGCAACCACCCTTTTTGGAATAACGCAGCCACCATGTAAAAGGAACGGGGTATATGCACAGTCTGTCCAAAAAACCATGCTGCAATGCGCTCGCGTACAGCACTACAGTATTAATATTCAAGAACCCAATTATAAAACTTGCACAGGGAAACGCAGCCCTCATCTAAATGCAGTGGCAGGCTTCATCATCCGATGTGCTTGATTTTTGCAGATTTATTGAACACTCGGGGAAGCGGTGTGCTAAAAAAGCCAGCGGACTGAGTTACATTCCCTGCCACGACTAACATCAGTGGCGAATGACCGGTCCTGGGCCCCCCCATTTCATCGACCTGCACTGACCAGAGTGGTGAACTGTTGTTAAACAACCACCGTGAACGATTTGGCATGGGGAGGTCCTCATCGAGCCGTGTGGGGGCATGATGAAGGGGCTGGATGCTGTATTGTTGTGGTGGAGCTTTAAATTAGATAGAGTAGTATCCTATTGAACTGTGGTGTACACAACTAAAATTAGTTAACTTTGATGTCTAAAATGGAAAGGATTATGCTTAAAACCCTCAATCCTCTGTGTTAATCTGCACTCGTACACACTCGTCTCTGGTCTCCGGCAAATGCGTTGGCACTTTCCCCTCTTTTAGCACAAGCCAGAAACCTCGCTGGCTGCATAGAACTTTGTACATTGGTAACATCCTACAAAGCTGTTGATAAAAATAGCAAAAGCCTTCCCCAACGTAAGTGCTATCATTCTTTAGAGCATGCACATAAATCACTCTATTCGTAGATTGCAATTGGGCACCACTGTGTTAAATTAAATTTTGCAGCGATTTTGTAAACCGTCCAAGAATGTACTACCTTGACATAGAAATCCACACGTCTTTGTAAAATACTCTGAATAGGATGAGACGATTATGATTGAGTAACTTACAGGCTATGTCAATTCATTTTTATCTGTAACACGACACTGCAATAAAACAAAGTGTTTCTTTGGGTTTCTGACATTGCTGAAGCTAATAAAGATGTTTTGACGTTTGTGCAATGGCATCAACAAAACTGTAGAGGTGAAAGTAAAGCACAGATAGCAAATTAGGATTAAACATATGGTGTATGGCTAATGAAATGCTGCGTTGGGAAAATAAGAATGGATTTCGGGTGTTAAACTCGTACACACACGAGATGGTCATTTAAAGGCATGTAATGATTCAATCCAAAGATAAAATGCATTTCGTCTAATTTGTACAGTTATTCCTGCTCCATTAGTCTAATTGTAACATTAACATATAATTTATATATTTATATAAACGTAAGAATATATTTTAATTGATGGATCTTTGCACTTAAATTGCATTGACTTTAGGGGTTACCATATTTTAATAAGCATGCCTGTACCTCTACCAGTTCATACATATTTGACCGTCCCCCAATTATTGTATGTGTATCAAGTACTGTATGTCTGCAGACAAAGCATAATCAATACAAGCTAAACATGGTATTGTCTTAGCAGACTATTATGGGAGCATGATGGTCTCAGATGCAAGCGCATGCAATTTGAATACTGTACTTGTTTAATGAGACCGTGGTGCAAAGTCATAGCAAGATCACTGAATTGGTTGCTTGATCGAGATACTTTACAACTTACACAGGTTTGCACTTTTCACACATGCATTACCCTCTACTCTGGTGTCAATACAATTGATTTTTAAAGCGTACATGGACAATTGAATCAAAATTAAACATTTATTTAGCATTTTAAGTAATGAATATCATAGTTAAATGTTGATTTTATGGAAATTATGGGTCCCTGTGTAACAAATTAAGGATTATAATTATGCTAATTTCTCATGGAAACACAAGTTTCACGTTTTGATAAAATGTTTGTGCCGATTAATGGAAACCAAAACAATCTAAAACTATATGTAGCAAATGGTTAATCTAATATGGTAAATGTACGGTCCTCTAAATACTGAACCCAGCAGAGGCCACAGTTAAATAAATGAGATGTGGCAAGTTATTCATTGTGCCAAACCATTGGCGTTGTTGGTCTGGCAAGCACCCCATGGAAAAGCTCCATCTCATTACAAGCTGAAGCACTTGTTCACAGTGACATACGAAAAGTGTTAATTTAATTGAGCCTAATGACCTGGAGTTAACAGTATAACATGATCCACCCCAATGCATGTCACCAGTTTGAAAACTGATCCGGTAATGTTGACGTTAAATAAACTAATTTCATTTTTTAATCCGTAAACGACTCATTGTGCTTGTCTCTTGCCTAGAGGAAGCTGGCCACATATTTTTATTATATTATTAAGATTCTGTACTGCTCAGCATTTCTTGTCAAATCAAAACAAAGTTTAAACAATGTTCAATGACGAACAATGTGAACCCCATATAAGTAAACAATGTGTGAAAACAGCTGAGACTACAAAAAAAACAACAGCCATGGCCTGTCCCATACTGGGTCAGCTAAATGCCAGGGGCAAATACATCGCTGTTTAAAAGGGTGAAAAAATGC